ATCTATATCGATTCTGAGTTTCTGTTGATCTTTTGGTTTCTGTAATTTGTATTCGGAATCGAAATGGTGTTTATGTAGTTAAGGTTTTGAGCAGTGATTGATTCTGTGTGTTTTGCTTATGTTGTTTGATTTCGTTTTGTCTCTTTCAGATATTTACTGGAAGAATGAACATAGACTTTCTTGTTCATCTGAGGTATGCACTGCTACAGAACGGGATCGCTACGAGAAATCTGTAAGTACCAAATTGGATCGTAACTTTACCCACCAATGTTCGTCTTTGATTCTTCTTTAGCTGAATTCTATGTTCATGAAACTTTGTGAATTGTAAATTTTTAGGTTTAGAGTTTCATCCTGATTAATTTCTCCTCTCTTTTTGATCTGAAGATCATGATTGTATCTGAGAATTGGCTTAAAGTTGTATAAATATTTACTCTCTCAATGATTGAAACAACAGAACAATCTCACTTCTTGATGTCGCATGTATGAAACCCTTTCCCTACCGTTGATGTAATCATAGCTCTAAATGCTGTCAAATAGCAACACAGGATTGTCTTTCGATTGAATTGTCTTTATGACAACGACACGAATGTCATCAGTGGTTCGGTTTATACAGAATCCTTGTGAATTTTTAAGCAATTGATTCTTAGTAAAAGTCACTGCATCCGAACCTTTTTCGTCCGCAATTGCAGTTTCCACAGAGAATTGCACATAGTGAAAATCAAACTCTAGGATATTTAGTTCAGCCTCGGTGTTTCTTTTTCTCCTTCACGAAAATGTCTCAGCTTGCTTATCTAACAATTTGTGTGTTTTGCAATTTACCACAGATCTACAAGGCTCAGAGGAATGTGGTTCTATGCACTGCAGGAATTCTTCTCTACTGGTAACATCATCAGCTATTATTATAAGTCAAACGCGCACGTAAGGGTCTCGTGTAATTCACTGATATATCTTGTTTTGATTGACAGGTGCATCTACCGCATCTGCAAGTATAACAAGGACCTAGAGCTCTTGGAGGCAACAGAGAAGAAACTCAAGGAAGAGTAATCTCTCCACGAGTATAGAGAGTTGGTTCCTCAAAACCATTATATAAGTAAAACTCTTATTGCGTTTTTACTTACAGTCGATTAGTACTACTAAACCTGAGCAAAACATAAGTATGAAGAACAGCTTTACAGACTATATATATTATCATCAGTGTTCGTTCCATTCTCTGAATATTGGTTTATTTTTCAAGAGTTATTTCCATGTCCAGAATTCTCATATACAGATTTGATACACCAACTATATTAAACCATAACGTTGAACGAAGCAAAATGCGGTCACAGGAAGAAACTCATCGCGATTGTATCATTACCTTAAATATTAGTTGGTCAGTTCCATATATTACAAAGCCAAATCGCTCTTAAAGAAGAGCACATTATCGTCTAACACAGACCGTTTCAGTTCAGTACGAAGTGATACCTTGAATCTACATGACTCTCAACATCCCAAAGGAACGACCCAAACGTCACAGCCTCCAACACAAGCCTCTTCAGTCCCTGGAAGCTGATCTTTATATGCTTATCACTTGACGAATCGATTGTGCCTTGTGGCGTTATCACAATCTCTGGCCTCCCAAACAACGCCTCTGTATGCTTCTCGATTATACCAACTGCTTCTCTTGATCTTATTGTAGCATATCTCTGAAGAGTTTCACCGTCAAAAGACATAACGTATGTCTTTAACCGTGATTGCTTCATGTCGCTGCTAAAACCGCCACTTGCGTTGATCCCTCCTACAAATGAACCAACTTCTCGGTTTGAAGATACAGCCTCATAAG